AAAGGTTGGTAAAATGACAAGAGTGATAAGAAGTTGGTAGCTAAACTCTTTATCTGGTCTGAATACTCATTTTACTATTACTAACAAATTCTCCCTTACTTCCTGGTTCTTTATTTTTATTTGTCCATTATCTTATTTTCTAACTAGTCTGAAACCATTTAAATGTTTTGTGGGCTGCATCATGCTTTCTACATAAGTATGTCATCAAATACTTACAAGAAAAAGAAATCTGAAGATTAACAATAGAGTGACAATGGCTTATTCTCTGAATCTATTTAAAAGGGAATGTTATGATCTATTTCAATGTTATGTACAAAATAATAAACAAAAATTGAAGCTTGTTTCAAAATCGGATTATAAAATTTAAAGACTGTGAAAGAAATATCAAATGCATAAAAGTTTTAAAATTCACAGCACATTTATAGCATCATTTTGAAAAGTGCAATGAATTGAGAATCTACACATGCTAAAATAATGAACAAATAACTTCTTCCAGGAGATGTCTAGGAAAATATCCACTGATCACAAGCTCAAAGTAACTATGTGAAAAAAAAAGGAAAATAAATACAATATAGTAGTTGGAAGAAATGAAAACCACCAATACTTTGGGTGCCTTGGGTTCACTTCCTTTTCATATATTTGTTTTAAAATCAATCTGAGAGCATGAAGAGTGTGGAAAGACTTGACCTGGTGCGCAGAAGACAAAATCTCAGTGATGTCAGAGACTACCACATACTTAGAGTGAGGATGATGAAGGGGTAGGAGGGAAAAATTTGGCCACAATCAAAATGAACCAGCCAAAGAGGCTGCACATGTTTCCAGATTTCAAGTAGTTCTGATTCTGAGGAGTAAAATGACACCTAGACTAGTTGTATTGGTAAGTTCAGAATCACTCTACATTTATCATCCACACACCTGTACTTACAGAAGTAGAGTTCAAAGCTAAAAATTCTAGGAACAGAAAAGAACGAATGTTATGAAGAGGCAGGAAAATACCATGTTTTCTGCCACTATGTAAAGAATGGTTTAATTAATGACAGAAATTATCTTTAATTAATCATCTATTTCCTGTATTGCAGATTTCAGTTCTGTTTAAATCTTCATGATATAGTGACTGCGGTTAATGCAAGAAGGTTGCATATGCTGAACTTTCTTGCAGTAAAGTGATGAAAAGAGATGTGAGTCAATCACTGAGAATGTTTAAATTGTTGATAAAATGGTTATTTTCACGTGATATTGAAATGCAGCAGTTTAACCATAAACGGAATATTCAAACAAGGAGGCAATTGATCTGAGAACTCAGCAACATGCATTGGTTATTTTCAGATTTCTACAATGTAATAGGGAAAATGTATGACTGGTGTTAAACACAGAATGATGAGGCCTCTGAGCGTACAAATAATTGAAATGAGCAAAAGAGTCTTGTATCAAAAAACAGATGGAAATTCGACAGGTAAACACTAATGAAAATCTGGTTTACATGAAGACAATGTATTTGAGTTCTGCTTGTTTGGCAAATGAGAAAGGTTAAATGGGGATCCTTTTAGTTTTAGGCCATCTGATCCAGATAATGATCATTTTGAAAATCACAACGATCAACATTCCATAAACAAAAGGCAGTGCAAGATCACTAGGTATATTAAAAAATGTAGAATTAGTTCAACTCAATATCACTGTGTAAAAGGTAATCAAATAAAGTTAGAACTATTTTTTTACATTTAAATGAATATGTTACAAGCTAAAAGTGAGAAAATTGAATAAGAAATAATTTTAACACTATAAAATTAAATGAATTGAGTAATATTTAAAAGAGGGAGTGGCTTAAGCTGAAATTTAAGTGAGAAGGAATGAGCTTCATTTTATTAGCAAATATTTTTAAAAGGCTATTACATGTGCTCAAGAAAATTAGTGATACCAAATGTTCAGTATCCCTAAGCATGTTTTTAGTTGAGAAGTTAATCTTTCAAAAACACTAATGATACTGATTTGCTTGTTAGCTTGCAAGAAGAAGATGAATAATATTCTTTTATCTGTGTATTCCTAAGGGCTCATCCTTTTCACTGAGGAAATTAATTACCAGCACTCATAATATCCCGATAAAAACCCCATTCTTTTCTTGAATTTCTCCTTTTCTTTCTTTTATTTATTTATTTATTTTTGTAATAAAATGCAATGGTATTCTTCCAAATTGGAAAGTTGAAATCGGATGGTCATATGTTGAAATCACTTTGAAAAATGAGGTGCCAGTAAACCCTACAGATATCTGATGTCACAAAAATATCATGTTGTAAAGTAGAAATCTAAAGACAAAAGCATAGGTTTCATATGATGCCTTGTCCATTAATAGTAATAATGCTGGCATGTGACACTTTCAACAGCACGGTTACCCCTCTTGAGAAAATCTAGGAGAAACAAACAATTTTCTGAACATTTTCATTTCCTAAACCTATAATAAAAGTTGAAAAGAAAAGATTCCGTATTTCTAATTCTAGTAAGAAATTTAGACAGAGCAGAGTAATATGTTGATAGGGTCACAGGAATTTGCTCAATCTATAAAAGTGGAAACAAACTTTCTGAATATATTAGAACATTTTAAAAGTGAAATTTATTCAGATGTAATTCATATGCATTAAAATTTATCTTTTAAAAACTATGCAGTTCAATTAGCTTTGACCAGTGTTTACCACAATTGAGATGCAGAACATTTTTATTATCCCAAACATTGTATTATTCAATAAATACCCTGTTCTACCCTCGCTATGGACAACTGATCTGTTTTCTGTTTGTAGAGTTTCCTACCAATTCGATTTTTCCAGAAGATCATATAAATGAAAGCACACTGCAGGTAGCATTTTATGTTTATTTTTTTTTCTTAGCATAATGATTTTGAGACCCACCAGTGCTGTAACATATATTAATAGGTTTATATCTCATCGCTGATTAGTATTCCATTGTGTGGATATATCAAACTTTGTTTATCTACACACCCACAGACAAAAATTGGGGTTATTATGAGTACAGTTGCTGTGAAGAATTGCTTACAGATTTTTGTCTAGACACATAATTGTATTTCTCTTTGGTAAATATATAAGAGTGGAATTGTTTTGGTAAGTATCTAGGAGTGAAATTTGTGTGTTTTTCAGTTTGGGGTTATTATGAAAGATGTTGCTCTGAAAATTTGCTTAAATATTTTTGACTGGACATATATTTTTATTTCTATTTGGTAAATATTTGGGATTGGAAATATCTAGGTAAATAAAAGTTTTCATTTATAAGAAAATGTTAAAAGGTTTGCAAAGTGTAGTTGCTCTGTGTTTCCGCCAGCACAAAGTGTAGTTGCTCTGTGTTCTTTTGTTTTTGTTATTTTAGTAATTGTTCAGCATTTAATACTACACATTTCCCCAGTGTAGCTTTGTCCTAAAAATTGTGATAGGTTGTATTTTCATATTTATTTAGTTGAAAACATTTTCTGATTTCCCTTGTGATTTTTTTGACCAATAAGTTACTTACACATTTGTTGTTTAATTTCCAAATATGATACCCAAAGAGCATACTTTGTATAATTTCAAATCTTTCAAATTTATTGATGTTTGCTTTATTTATGGTTCAGAATATGGTCTATATTAGTGTTTGATCAACATGTACCTCAAAGAATGTGTTTTCTGCTCTTATTAGGCACAGTGTTCAACAAATGTCATTTATGTCCAGTTGGTAATAGTGCTATATAGCTTTAACTTTACTGCCTTTTTCCCCCATCTTGTATCAATTACTCGGAAAAAAGTGTACCCTACAACCATAATTGTGGAGTTGCCTATTTCTCCTTTCAGTTTTTCTTTTATATGTTTTTAAGTTAACAGTTACATACACATTTAGGGTAGTTATATCTGTCTGATGGATTGATGTTTTTATCAGTATGCAATATGCCTGATTGCCATTGGTAGTATGTTTTGCTCTGAAATCTACTTTGTTGGATATTAAAATAGGAATTCTGTCTTTCTTGCATTTGGTATTAGCATTGCATAGCTTTTTCTATCCATTCAACCTTTATATATATTTATATTAAAATGAATTTCCAACAGGATATATATATATTTTTATATAATATTTATATATATTTATATATTATATAATATATAAATATAAATATATAAATATATAAATATATAAAAATTTATATATATAATATATATTAAAAATATATATATATATTTTTTTCCCCGAGACGGAGTTTAGCTCTGTCGCCAGGCTGGAGTTCAGTGGCACAATCTCGGCTCACTGCAATCTCCACCTCTCAGGTTCAAGAGATTCTCCCGCCTCAGCCTTCCAAGTAACTGGGATTACAGGCATGCACGCCACGCCCAGCTAGATTTTTTATTTTTAATAGAGAATGAGGTTTCATCTTGTTGGCTAGGATGGTCTCAATCCTGTGATCTGCCCACCTCAGCTTCCCAAAGTGCTGGGATTACAGGTGTGAACCACTGTGCCAGGCCTGTATTTTTTAATCCACTATGACAATATCTGTCTTTCAACTGAATGTAAATGCATCTAATGTAATTATTAAAATGTTTGAGTTTAAATCTCTTATCTTCCTGATTGGTATCCATTTGTCCCATCTCTCTCTCTCTTTTGTTTGCTATCTTCAAGAGAACAATTGGAAATAATGTAATAGTTTTTTTATTATTCAATTTTATCGCCACTATTTATTTGTTTTACATCTTTTTTTGTAATTGCTCTAATATTTACTCTCTACATCTTTAAGTTATCACAGTCTACAATCAAATAATAATACTCTACTTCACATATATTTCTAGGAATCTTACAACAGTCTTTTGCTACTCCTTTTCTCCATGTTGTAAACTCAATACGTTGTTACTAGTTTTGCTTTAAAAAGTCAATTACTCCTTAACGTTTTTAAAACTAAGAAAAATAAACTTCTTTTATACTTACCTACATTTTTATAATATCAAATGTCCTCAATTCCTTTGTGGAAATCTACATTTCCAATTGATATCATGTTCCTTCATTTAACCATTTATTGTAGTTTTAATTTGCTACCAGAGAAGTCTCTTGGTTTTTTAATATAAAAAATGTCTTTTTTTGTTTGTTTGTTTTGGTCCTCAGTTTTGAAAGATTTTTATTTTGCTGAGTACAAAACTCCATGTTGACAGACGTGGAGGAAGAATCATGTAGGATAAGATGACCAGAGAATCCTGCCAGTAATCAATACTGTGGAGAAATAGAAAGGATGAACAAAGATAACAGGATTTGTCAATTAAAACAACATTCATGCTCCACAGGACGTCGGCTCTGTATTCTTCAGAATTAAGGAGAAAATATAGACAGTAGCTGTAGCTTATTTTTGCAAGAAGATCGGTATTAAACTTAGGAGGCAGAATAATAGACCGATAGGATAGGATAGGATAGGATAGGATAGGATAGGATAGGATAGGATAGGATAGGATAGGATAGGGTAGGGTAGGGTAGGGTAGGGTAGGGTAGGGTAGGGTAGGGTAGGGTAGGATAGAATTTAAACACGCACACACAAAACAAGGGCTAGTTGATAGAGCAAGTTTCAGAATCAAGTAGAGAGAACTGAATTTTTTAGTATGAGTTTTCTTTTGCTGTGTAACAAATTCTCACAGATGTAGCAAGTAAAAAAATCATTGCCCATTTATTGGCACACCATTCTATATGTCAGAAGTCTGGAATAATGTGGTGGGGCTCCTTGCTCAGAGTATCACAAAGCTGAAATCAAGATTTCGCTGGACTGACTTCTTGTCTTCACGATCTAGGGCACAATCAGCCCACAGGCCATTCCTGTTCTTGTCTGAATTCAGTTCCTTCCGGGTGATGTCCTCATTTCCTCGTTGGTGGTTAGCCAGGGCCTGGTCCAAGCTCCAAGAGATCACTGCACTTGTGGCCATGTGTCCTCCTCCATCTTTAAGCAAGCAACGGTGCTTTGAATCTACGAAATGCTCTTTTGCAACCATCTGGAGGAATCTCTCTGCTCTTAAATTAGTTATGTGATGAGGTCAGGCCCACAAGGATAATCTTAAGGTCAATTGATTAAAGCCTAACGCTTTTAATTATATCAGCAAAACCCTTTCACAGAGATACCTAGATTAGTGTTTGATTGAATAACTGAGAGAAAATGTGTGTACACCAGGGACCAGGAATCCTGGGATTTCAGGGGATGGTGTATTCGAACTCTGCCTTCTATATAATACAAAAGGACCTGAACTAGTTAAAAATAGAGAAAGGGAGAAAGGTATTTCTTTCTCTACTTTATATGAGATAAAATATGTGATATTTTATTGCATATAGAATGATGAAACATTAGGGATACCTTTATGAATAAAAGGATGAAAGTTGATAAATTTAAACCACATGGAAAAATTAGCTGAATATTAGAAAGACAGGGGTAAAATTGGTACTTTGAGGACTATACAATAGAGTAGGTAATCAACATAAGTTAGCATAGGAGTCCAGACTTCTCTGAAGACCTTTTGGAACCTGGCAAGGATGTAGCTATGAAGAAATGAGAGATTTGCAATAGAGAACATTCAAGCAGTTAAGGGATCCTTAGCTGTCAGACAAGTTATAATGAATGGCTGAATATGTAGTTTAGAGTGATAAGTTGGTCAAGAGAAGACAGAAAAGCTCTGAGGTACAGGAAACTGTAGGGTTCAAAATACGAAATATTACAAATCATAATGGAGAGAAAATAGTAAGTTCAGATATTAGAAAGTGATACATGATAAAAAGCTATAATGCTGATCTTGAATTTAGATCTAGAATTAAAACATTAAAAATACGTTTCATCAGATGACACAAGTTGATTGTAGTGACAAAATGTGATTATATGATGATGTGTGGCTAGAGATAAAGAACATTATAATATAATAATGGACATAATACATACTATAACATAATAATGTATGTGACTGAGGAATTCTGAAGCCAGGTGTATTAGTCAAGGTTCTCTGGAGGGATAGAACTAATATATTTCCTACTCTCTCTCTCTCTCTCTATATATATATATATATATGTATATATGTGTGTGTATATATATATATATATATAGGAGGAGCTGAGGAGCAAGGAGAGCCAGTCTGAGTTCCAAAACTGAAGAACTTGGAGTCCGATGTTTGAAGGCAGGAAACATCCAGCATGGGAAAAAGATGTAGGCTCGTTTTTCTGCCTGCTTTATATTCTAGCTGCACTGGCAGCTGATTAGATGGTGCCCACCCAGATTTTGGGTGGGTCTGCCTTTCCCAGCCCACTGACTCAAATGTTAATCTCTTTTGGCAATACCCTTACAGACACACCCAGGATCAATATATTTCATCCTTCAATCCAATCAAGTTGACACTCAGTATTAACCATCACACCAGGATAATAGCTTTTATTTTTTTACATTTTTAAATGTGGTTTTGTTTTCATCTTTATCCTCCTTATATATGCACATGCAAAGCTATTTTTCTTATAACAAAATAGAGAATTCATTGTGCCCTCTCTCTCTAATTTGCCTGTCTATAGACGCAACTCTTTTCAGTTTTTCAGCTGATTTTTTTCTTTCTTTTTTTTGGGGGGGCATTTACTTCCATACTTCAGATATCAGAATTATATTGTTATGTCTTGACTTTTTGTTCAATTCTTAAGTATTCTCTACTTATTTTCTCCTATAAAGAAATGAGGTTTAGCACTCTTGTACTCTCATACACTGAGCTCTTACCATAAATGTATACCTCTTTTCTTTCTTTCTTTCTCTCTCTCTGCATCTCTCTCTGTCTTTCTCTCTCTCTTTCACACACACACTCACACTCAATCTTCCCCATGTTATCAATACAGTTATAAGTTTGATTACATCAGTATTTACACAATTATGTGTATGTAAGTGCTATTCTAAGCTATTTTGTATACGAAAAGTATTTTTCCTTTCTTAATCAAATTTTTCACCCTTTATATTTGGATACTGCAATGGAATTTTTAAAAATTTTGCTGAATCCTTTTTTTAAAAAAAGTCTTATTTCTCTAAGAATATCACCAAAATGCTTTTTTTATACATGTCCCAATTTCCAAAATTTCGTATTTTTTCTCTGTGTATTTTGATCCTTATTTTTTTTTTTAACTTGGAAGTTCACAAATGACTGGTGATCCTTGGGTGTCTGCTAATATTTAAAAGTAGGGCATTTAAAAGCTGCCTTGGAACATTGAGCCCCCAAATGAAACTTGTAACTGTAATTTTCACTATAGGTTATGTCACTGTCTTAAAAAAAAAAGGTATATTTATGTTTTTTCTCTTGACTAAGTAGAATCTCCATATAATGATCTTTCAGTAACCTAGAGGTTATAACCTTGGCTGCTGTCATTCTGGAAGATATGTTGGGGAGAGAGCTAGGTGATCAATATTCAGTATTATAAATGTTAATTTAATTATCCTATGCTCAACAGAATACCCTACCTTCAAATATTTCCCAGATTAGAAACCTACCTCTCCCACCTCCAGTCTTTTTTTGGTACAAAATAAAATAAATCCTTTGGAGCCTTGCAATGATTGAGAAGACCTGAGGTTCTAATTGTTTCTTTGTTCTATTTTAAATTGCTTTTTCACTCATTGATTTTATTGAGGAATAACAGGCACGCAATAAATCCCTTCTACTGAAAGTATACAACCCAATAAATTTTGATAGTTGTATTAGCTCATGACCACACAACTGCAATCAATATACAAAATATATCCATCACCCACAAAATATTCCTCACATCCCTTGTAGTCAATTCTTCCTTTAGTACTTACCCCAGGCAAGTACTATAGACAATTTTGAAATTTATACAAATTTATACAAATTTATTACAAATGTAATACAACTTGTAATCTTTTGTGTCTTGCTTCTTTCAGAATGATGATTTTGAGACTTATCCATGTTGTTGCATTTACAATGATTTCCTTCTTTTATTGTTGAGTAGTATTCCATGGTATAAATGTACATCCTTTATTTTATTCATTTTACTATAAATGGACTCTTGAGGTGTTTATAATTTTTCACCATTTCGAATAAAACTGTTGTGAACATTTGTGTATAAATCTTTTTGTGGACATATGCTTTTGTTTCCATTCCATAAATACTAATGTGTAAGATTACATTTCTAAGAAACTCTTTTTCAAAATGATTGGACCATTTTATAGGTACTCCATGTCCTTGTCAACACTTGTTATTATCCGTGTTTACAATTTTAGCCATCCTAATGGGTGTATGGTTTTAACAGTTGCTTAGAGTTTTCAACGACTCATCCTTGTTTTAATCCACCTTGCCCTCATTTCCATCAGAAAATTGGCACTACAAGTTTATAATTTTTAAAAAGTATTCTGTAGTATAGATAAGGTTGTTTCTTAGATTTTTGCCATGGGTTAAGAGTTCAATTTTTCCCAGATTGCTAAATCAGTTACTATCTGTTCATATGATTTCTGTCTTCCAAACTACAGTTGTGATGGTATCTACTCTACTTATGTTTGTCCTTATAAGTGTTCACATTCCAAAATCCCTTTATTTTTATTTTAGTGGGATTTTTGATGGGAATATAAGAAACAGGTTGTGTTTAATTCACCATCTTCATTCCTCTGGTATTTAACAGGTATATTTAACATTTAAAATTGTTGTCAGAGCACAGACAATGTTAGAGGTAAAACAATTAATTAGATGTTAAGATAAATACTATGCAAATAATGAAAGAAATGATGTAATACAAATAATGAGAGAAATAATGTTGTAAGATACATAAGTGTAGATTCAAAAAGGCATATATATTAAAAGGGAGTCCTTTTTAAAAATTATTATTATGTTGGCATGATAGTTTGACAGACCTTGAGGAAAAATAAGGGGTTAATATATCCTATTTTTCAAAGATCTGGGGGAAGTAGTAGGAGAATAAATTTACTGGAGAGAGAGATAGAAAATGTAACCACCTCACTAAAACAGGAGGACTCCACTTATATTGAGGCATTTTGATTTTGTTTTAAACATTTAGTGCACTGTTGCAATAACAGCTCCTGAAGGTGTCATATTTGGTATGAAATATGCATTCAGATATTTTTGGGGATCTCATTCAAACTTTTCATGGAATAGAAAAATAAAATTTAAATAATTTGAATGATCTTGTTCGCCATTCTATGTTTTCAATGTATTATCTTGAATGAGTGACATCAAATATATATTTTGTTGTCC